CAAACAATATGAAATTAGTTGTTGATCTAAACCTTACTGCCTGGAAACCAACACATTAACACCTCCACTAAAAACAAACAGAGAACATAAACGAAAAGACTAGAAGAACCTGGGCTTTTCTTACAATACAGTTGCAAGAAGAAAGATTCAACAGAGCTTCCATGAGAGAAAAAATAAGATGCATACCATGTACATACTAAAATATGAAGTGATTTTTTTTTTTTTGCAAATCATGCAAATTGCTAATGAAAAAAACAACTTGCATTTGTTTCACAAATTTCTCCTTGCATGTGATGAAATTTATATTATTTTTATAAATCATTTCTGTGATTACCGGTAGTAATAATGATCAGTTACGCCAAAACAAATTATTGTGAAATAAATTAATAGGTCAATTCATCTGCAGTTAATTACAGAAAGAGTAGTCTGATATATATTATATTATTCGCATTGTATTTTTATTAATATTGTTATGTATGAAAACAAATTCCATAGAATTTTAATGAACAGCTTCTTAGGATGACTTTACTGTTGTGGCACCTCAAAACTAAAGTCAGTGATTTGTTTTCAGGCGCACATTGTAACGCTATGATCACCATATTGTCACCTGATGGCATTATGGTGAATTTATCGCTGCTATTGCGATCTTCAGTATCTGACTTTTCGGTGTCAAAATGCAAACACTTCAAATGCTTCATGTTTTACGTTGACTAAATTAATACAGCATATCATGTCTTGATAAATCCATGTAAAGATAACTCAATCCTTCAAACAAATGCACATTAGGAGAATGATAACAAAGGCTTGGAGGTTGAATGAGAACGATTAAAACCGCTGTTTTTATGCAAATTCGTGCAGGTACCCTGGGATGCACTGTCTATTCTCTAGACTATGGAGTTGGGTTTAGGCAGTTTCGGTTAATCCAGGTTCAAACCTCTTGTTTGAATGTGAGAGTGTCCCTAAGTTAGTGTAAATTCAGTCATGTAATGAAAACTAGTGACATCTACTCACGGGCGATCCAATCCACAGCGATTCCTTCAACACGTCCCAATGCATTGGTCAATAAATCTTCTTTCTGCGTCATGTCTCTTTTTATTCTATGAATTGTATTCTTCATTGTGTCTGTCCAGTAAATATAATCTTTGGCTGAGAATAAATAAACCATTGTCGAACAATAAGAAACCCGCTCTTGAAACAACTCAAAAAATATTAATGACTTGACAATCACAATAACACAAGTCAAATTATTCATGCGCATATTTAATAAAAAATTTAAACTGATGGTGACTGTGGTAAACTTTAAACCGAAGCAAAAATAATTTTTTGAAAAATTGGTACCTGCATCAAAGTCAACAGCGACAGCAAGGGTGAGTCCGGTAATAGGAGTAAGAACATCAACTGTATCAACCAGATCCAAGGATATACCATATATACCAGTATCCATTGAATATAACAAGAAAGAAGCAATACCTGAAAAAATTGCAAACAAAAAAGTTAAATTGGTTGACGTTCATTACGCAAATTTGAACAGATGCCCATGGATGGATTTGAATCAGTTGATCAGGCAAAAGTTGATCCTTGCCAAATTTAATTGTTTATTAATCCTTTCATAAAAAAAAACCAATGTTATGATATTTATGACAATACAGACATATATTTGCACGTTAACCTCACCTCTGCATATTGTTTCCCCATCATCAATGGTAAATCCAGCCGTACATTTGCAAACTCGTTCTGATGCAGAAGTCGGTAAACACAGTTGTTGGCAATCTCCATTGTTATCGTAACAAGCATTAACAATTTCAGCTGAAACGCAGAACAAATATGATGAAGATAAATAATAGTGTAACATGTCAGGGGTCATGTTGTAACTGATTTTGAGGTCTAAAGCTTTGATAGGAATTAATTTAAATCATATATTCCATGGTTGAGATAAGGCCCTGAGTTCACTTAAGGTAGAAGTCTACTCATCATTTTTGAGAATGTTTGTCATAAATTGCATGACAATGTTCATTGATTTATTATGTAAAATCATGGAGCTATTGTCCCATGCCACCATAAAATAACATTCTTATGTATGTTACAGTGATGTATTTTGAAAAATTTGTCCTAATATTTTTTTTTGTGGTATATGGTACAACTCATGTGTAATAAATATCAGAAATAAAAACTTTGGCGGTCATGTGGCTTTTCCCGCCATTTTGTTTTTCCTAAAAACGGCAAAAAACACTTAAAGGTCTTCTTCTTCAGGGCCGCCAGGTAAAATGTTCTCATATTCAGTACTTAGCTTCTACATATGGAGCAGATTTAGATTTGAGAAATTCATTATGATTGGTCACGTGGTTTGGCCGCCATTTTGGGTTTGTTCTCAACAGGAAGTAGTTTTTTACTCATGCCGCACTTGAGCGATTATCTCAAATATTACGTCATGGCATTTCTCTAACTAACCCTTTCAGAAACCTAATATTTTTCAAAAATCACTATTTTTAGAACAAAAATTGCATTTTCAACGCAATATGTCTTCAACAATATCTCTGCTATAGGATCCTAAAGTAAAAGTGCTATAATGGCCACTATCAACTAAAATACAACAATCATGTCCACAAAAATAAGGCGAGTGACCAGCATCTTTTTTAAGTCAATATTCTTATATTGCCCAGAAGTACAATTTATTAAAAAATTGATAAATTCTGGGTATTTGAATTCATGAGTTGATTTCTACCTTAATGTTAAGTTATGTTTGAATTGTCAGAGTGAAAATAATTATAGGTATATCATCAGCCAGAGGGGTTCATACAGACCAAGTCAAAGTGAACAAGCCATGCATGGCACAGTCTCCGTTAGTTTTCAAATTTAAGATATATAATTTTGTTTATAGTAATATAGCTGGAATATAACATGTCAGGAATATGATTATGATGATTGACATTTAAATGATTGACATTTGTATCTGAGTATTGTGAGATATTGCTCTTGAACAGCATTAATTAAAACAAAATCAGTCATTTTGAGTACATGTATAATGAATATATAAAATTTGAACATAGTCAGTCAAAGCAAGTCAGAGATATGGCTCTAAAAACCCATTCATTAAAACAAAATGGCCACTAGTCAGCCATTCTGAATCTGATCTAAAAAATAAAATAACGTGCATCAGGAACCTGTAATGTCTAATGTATTTACCAAGTTTGAACAAAATCCATCCATAAATGCTTGATATTTGATGATTTTTTAGCACAAAAATGGCCATCTTTCGGCCATTTTTAATAGGATCTATGACATGATAAATGTATATAATGAATATTTTAAAATTTGAACATAATCAGTCATAGCAAGTCAGAAATATGGCACTAGAACCACATTCATTAAAACAAAATGGCCGCCAGTCTGCCATTTTAAATCTTTTCTGAAAACAAAATGATGTGCATCAAATTCCTATAATGTTTAACGTATATACTAAGTTTGAACAAAATCCATCTGTAAACAGGCGAGAAATTCTTGATTTTGATGATTTTTAGAACAAAAATGGCTTCCATTCGGCCATCTTGAATCAGATCATGCAACAAATTGATGTGCATATGTATAATATCATGTGTGATGTATGTGTGAAGGTTGATTGTGATTAGTCAGGCATTTCTAAGATACAGGTCCGAACGCACGCACGGAAACATGGACACACGGATGCATGGAGGTCAAAACATAAGTCCCTGTTTTCGGACTGTGTCCGAACGGAGACTAAAAATATCTTGAGATCAAAGTTCATAGGTTATGACATATTATAGCATCTTACACACCAAGCATTGCAAAGGCAAATCAAACATGTAATCAAATACAAAAATTTCATAAAGAACATAAGAAGAATAAATTGAATTCTATAATGAGATCTTAACACTACTCACCATTTTGTGTTTGCTCATCGTATACCACGATGTCCATCACATTTGGACTGCGATTACGTAGCACAGTTTGCACACCAGGATTTGTCTTATCAACGTACATTATCTCTTCACTGTTCTTCTCAGACCAGTAAATTTTATCATCAGTGACAGCAATACCCCATGGTTGAGAAGTTGGACTTGGGGTAAAAATTATTTGGGCATTTTCACCATTAAAATCTGATGCATGTATTGACTGATCCCCAGCATCAGTATAGTAAAGTTTGTTCAAATTAAGATCTATCGCTAAACCTACAAATACAAAATAAAAATAGTTTATCAGGAAATTATACATAATAGTATGATTGCATGGAAACTTTCAGGAAAGTCCTGTGTCAAAGTGTGTTAGCCATGTCTATCTTTAAAGCTTGTGAATGCCATGATTCTATACTATATCAGAACGTTTGTAAATATATATATTGTAATATTCTTTATTCTAATTTTTATTTACCGTATTTTTTACCGTACACCCATTCTCATTATCCAAACCTATTACTAAATGTATAGTGCCACATACTTTTCCTTACTAACAAAATTAAAACTAACGCATATTACAATAATATCACTGAGTATTCATAGTGAATAGGTCCTGCATGGCACAGTCTCAGTTAGTTATCAAATTCAAGATATATATACTGTTTTATAGTAATATAGTTGGAACACAGGTAATTTTTAATGAATTAGAAATGTTATTCATGCCAAAAATAAAGTTATACAATTCCCTGTTGGAATTAGAGGAAATGTTATTCATGCCAAAAATATTGACCAAAATCATAGTTAGTAATTGAGAATGAATAAATGGCTAATCAAGTATCAACAGAAATTAGATGTATTAAATGACTCTTTTAAAATCAAAATATATGGTCAGAAATTAAACAGGATATGCTATTCATGCATTTTTTGTATTCATGTACAAAGATGTAGTAGTATAGTCAAAAAGTAAGATTGCATGCAGTCAACTGTCTTTGATCTGATTGTCAAACTAATTTTCATGGACATGTATCCTAACATGCATAATTTGAAAAGAAAAAAAACATGTCAACAATACATTTGGAAAAAACAAGAAGGCTGCCAGTTGGTCATTTTGGATTTGAACACGAAACAAAAAAAGTGTATCTCAACATATATAAAGTTTGTATCAAATTTGAACAAAAAATGACAAACCCTGTCCAAGAAACCACATTTTTCAAAAAACAAGATGGAAGTCAGTCGGCCATCTTTGATCTGATTATAGAACAAACTGACATGAACATGTATTCCTTAATTCATGATGTATGTGCCAAATATGAATGAAGATGGTTTAAATAGCCTTGGAGATTTATATTAGTAGTATAGTAAAAAAACAAGATGGCCACTAGTCTGCCATCTTTCGTCTGGTTATGAAACAAACTGACATGGACATGTATTCAAATATGTATGATGTACGTGTCAAAAAGCAAGATGGCCGCCAGTCCACTACTTTACACATGGCTACATCCAACATTCAGAAGAATTATTAAATATGGCACAGAAACTAACCTCCAGGCTTTTGTAATCCTTCTATGATTGCGACTCGGTTTGTCCCATCCATATTAGCAGCTTCTATCTTGGGAGACTCACCATTGTTGATCCAGAAAATTTTACTGAAGAAATATAAAAATCACAAATCACACAAAAGATGCATTATTAGATCTCAATGCTACATGCTGAGATTTAGATTTAGTTGTGTATGGTCACATGATAAATAGACTATATGAATTTTATCATTATATCATGTGTAGTGGTCATATATCATTAGATTATGTGTAGTATACAAGGACATGATCATTAGAGCATGTGCAGTATAAAAGTACATGATCATTAAACCATGTGTAGTATATGAGGACATGATCAATAGACCATGTGTAGTGTATGCAGACATGATCAATAGACCATGTGTGGTGTATGCAGACATGATCATTAGACCATGTGTAGTGTATGCAGACATAATCAATAGACCATGTGCAGTGTATAAAGACATGATCAATATACCATGTGTAGTGTATGAAGACATGATCAATATACCATGTGTAGTGTATGCAGACATGATCATTAGACCATGTGTAGTGTATGCAGACATGATCATTAGACCATGTGCAGTGTATAAAGACATGATCAATATACCATGTGTAGTATATGAGGACATGATCAATAGACCATGTGTGGTGTATGCAGACATGATCAATAGACCATGTGTAGTGTATGCAGACATGATCAATAGACCATGTGCAGTGTATAAAGACATGATCAATATACCATGTGTAGTGTATGAAGACATGATCAATATACCATGTGTAGTGTATGCAGACATGATCATTAGACCATGTGTAGTGTATGCAGACATGATCATTAGACCATGTGTAGTGTATGCAGACATAATCATTAGACCATGTGTAGTGGATGAACACATGATTATTAGACCAAGTGAAGTATAAAAGGACATGATCTTTAGACCATGTGTAGTATAAAAGACATGATCATTAGACCATGTGTAGTATATGAAGACATGATTATTAGACCATGTGTAGTATATGAAGACATGATTATTAGACCATGTGTAGTATATGAAGACATTATCATTAGACCAAGTGAAGTATAAAAGGACATGATCTTTAGACCATGTGTAGTGTATGAAGACATGATCAATAGACCATGTGCAGTATAAAAGGACATGGTCAATATACCACGTGTAGTGGATGAACACATGATCATTAGACTATGTGTAGTATAAAAAAACATGATCATTAGACGTGTAGTATATGAAGACATTATCATTAGACCATGTGTAGTATAAAAGGACATGATCTTTAGACCATGTGTACAGTGTAGTGTATGAAGACATAATCATTAGACCATGTGTAGTGTATGAAGACATGATCATTAGACCATGTGCAGTGTATGCAGACATAATCATTAGACCATGTGTAGTGTATGATCATATGAAAATTAAACCACACGTAGTGTACGAGGACATGGTCTTTAGATCATGTGTAGTGTATGGTCACATGATCAATAATACAAGAGTGTGGTGTATCTATCTCTTAACTTAATTAGTGCTCTTACCCTTCTCTTGGATTGACAGCAATGGCAGAAGGGTGATCCAGATCGCCAGTCACTATACTGTTTCGATACGTCTTATCCAGCTTGGCAACATTAATCGCTTTCTTGGAATTATCATAGCTCGTCCAGTAGATATTTCGTGAAATCCAGTCTATAGCTAATCCATGGGGATTAGATACTCCTGATAGAAAGGAATATAACACTTTACTGTAAACAGCTTTACAAGAAATAAGTAATTTCATGACATAGTCCCTGTCAGTTCTCAAGTTTAAAAAATATATCAAATTTGAGATACAATGCATGGCTCCAAAATTACATTCACTCAAAAAAAAATGATCACCATTCAGACATCTTTAATCGGGATATAAACAAATCATGTCAAAGGTCAAGAAATTAGTTCTTGTTTTCAGACTGTGTTCGAGCGGAGACTTAAAAAAGTTTTGCAGGTCAGGAAAATTCACAAAATAGTGCGCAGTGAGGACAGAACATTGCAATGGTTATGTCAGTAATGCCTGCATTGCTTATTTTGATATGTAAAAATCAAAAACTGCTGAAATTTTTTTTTTTATGTTTTTTATGCTAATTCTATGATCCCCTAACTTATCAGTTATGTGACTTCTAGCTCAATATAATAGTAATGTAAGTCACTAACTCATTATTTACGCTAAGTTAGGTACTTCTAAATAATAAGATATGCTAATTACACGATTCCAACTCATTAGTTTTATGCAAATTAAGTAACCCCATATATATAAACTCATTAGTTGTTATGAAACAAGCCATTTTAACAGAAATAAAAATTTCCTTAATAACGCGATAGTAATGTTTGTAAAAAAAAAGCAAAATTCACCCAAATTTATTTATAAAAACATTGGTTGAGAGTTGAATAATTTTTAGGAAATAACATCATATAATTTTTTAAATGTGTACATTTATACCTGATACAATGCTTTCTATTCCAGTCCCGTTAATAAAAACTCGTTTGATTGCATTTAGTTTCACATCTGTCCAATAAATTCTTTTTTCTCTTGCATCATAATCCACAGCTGTTGCATTTTCCAACTCTGGTACAGTCAGTGCTGGTATGACACTGTAGAACCCATTTTTCAAGTCAACACCACGCAACTCTGTCTGTCTTGTAAATAAGACAAACTTTTCATTACCTGTTGGGAGATATCATTTCAATTAAGATTTGATCTGTAATTTACTGATCTTGATTTCTTCAAAATAATTGAAATTTGAAAATAATTTACAAATGACGATCATATCAACAGACACACATGTAGCACAAGGCATTCGTAAGATAACTTTATAATTATATATCTTTTCCCTGCTTCTAGTAATAATTTAATCAGAGATAACAGCCCTGCACTGCCTGAATGCATACTTTGCAGTATTCTCAAGATAACTTTATAATTATATATCTTTACCCTGCTTGTAGTAATAATTTAATCAGAGATAACAGCCCTGCACTGCCTGAATGCATACTTTGCAGTATTCTCAAGATAACTTTATAATTATATATCATTTCCCTGCTTGTAGTAATAATTTAATCAGAGATAACAGTCCTGCACTGCCTGAATGCATACTTTGCGGTATTCTTGTAATAACTTTATAATTATATATCATTTCCCTGTTGTAGTAATAATTTAATCAGAGATAACAGTCCTGCACTGCCTGAATGCATACTTTGCAGTATTCTCAAGATAACTTTATAATTATATATCATTTCCCTGCTTGTAGTAATAATTTTATCAGAGATAACAGTCCTGCACTGCCTGAATGCATACTTTGTGGTATTCTTGTAATAACTTTATAATTATATATCATTTCCCTGCTTGTAGTAATAATTTAATCAGAGATAACAGTCCTGCACTGCCTGAATGCATACTTTGCAGTATTCTCAAGATAACTTTATAATTATATATCATTTCCCTGCTTGTAGTAATAATTTAATCAGAGATAACAGTCCTGCACTGCCTGAATGCATACTTTGCGGTATTCTTGTAATAACTTTATAATTATATATCATTTCCCTGCTTGTAGTAATAATTTAATCAGAGATAACAGTCCTGCACTGCCTGAATGCATACTTTGCATTATTCTTGTAATAACTTTATAATTATATATCATTTCCCTGCTTGTAGTAATAATTTAATCAGATAACAACCCTGTACTGCCTGAATACATACTTTGCAGTATTCTCAAGATAACTTTATAATTATATATCTTTTCCCTGCTTGTAGTAATAATTTAATCAAAGATAACAGCCCTGCACTGCCTGAATGCATACTTTGCGTTATTCTTGTGATAACCATATAATTATATATGGTTCTATGCTTGTAGTAATAGTTTGATCAGAGCCTAAAATATGGCAAAAACAAAAATCAATATACATTGTTTTAAATTAGTGTTAATGACAGGATTTTATTGCTGTCATGTGCTATACATGTGTATACTGTATCTGTGTCAAATAATAATGAAAGAAAGTGTTTGAATATCACATCAGTAATCTTGAAAATGCCAATGTTGGTGATGCAGTTTTACCCATATCAGGGAATGTTCCAATGAGTGTTGATACATTTTGAAATGAATGCTGAAACAGCTTTCTACCGAACAATAAAACAATTATATTGTTTTTCTGTGCTGAGTGTATAATAATGCAAGTTTTTACATAGTGATCATTAAAAACAAAGACACCCCTGTAAACTATGTACGAATAAAACATGTTAGATGGAAATATACTCACTGACACAAGTTTTTTTATCATCAGCAAGCTTTGTAAGATGTGGACACTTACAAACGGCAGTGTTACCATGGAGACCTATGATGCACAGATGACTACATCCACCGTTGTGGACGCAGGGATTTGTAGCTGGAAAAAAAAAACAAGTAAAAAGTCAAATTATTGTCATGTACCTCAAGGCAGCATGACACAATGCCATCATTTTCCTGCTCATGTAGAGAAGAAAAAAAACATAGTGTAACTATTACTACCTTGTCCATTGAGAACTTGGATTAAATAACAAATGTATGGATGGATACAAACTAACGATGCAAGACCTATTCTTTGCATAGCAAAAGTGAGTATAAATTAAAGTCCTGAAATGATGCAATGTATTATCTACGCTTTTTGCGCAGAAATTACTGGCGAAATGAAAAAGTCATCATAATTAAAGAAAAAAATATTTAATATGCATGTTATTCAAATACTACTACATGCACTGTATTAATCACAATATCCCTCATAGAATAGTATAACCTGAATTGTAAGTTCTTAATATATAATAGTTCAGCAACAAATCCCAGCAAAATATGGCAAGAAAAATACTAGACAAAGTGTTCCTAAATTAATACTACTAATACTGTATTAATCTCAATGTATCTTATAAATTAATATAGCATGAATTGTGAGTTCACAAACAGTAGTGCCAGTGATAAATTTAAGCAATTTGTCAATTTTTTGATTTATAAGATATTGGTTTACTACATTTCTCTAATTGACAGATCTTTTAGAGTAATTACTAACATCTGGTTCTCATTATCAGCACTACAAATTTCTTTAATCTTTTTTATTCCTAGAAATGTTTTATTTGAGTCAAATGTTAACCCATATCTTGCACTTGTGAGTTATCCCAAAATTTACTAATCATTATGCAAATTAGGTAATTAATATGCACAGATTTTCACCCAAAACTAATCAAAACCTGGCATTAGTTCAGATCATCTTTGAACCAAGTTTCATCAAAATCCAATGAGTGGTTCTTATGATATCAGTAGAACAGTCATGGAACAGATAAAAATTAGCTAATTATCACGCAAATTAGGTAATTTATATGCAGAGATTTTTACCAAAAACTAATCAAATCTGCGCATAAGTTCAGAGCATCTAGGTACCTAGTTTCATGAAAATCCAATGAGTGGTTGTTTAGATATCAGTGGAACAGTCATGAAACAGCTAAACACTGCAAAGACTCCCTTTTTGTGCTTCGCACACGGAGTCAGAAACCAAAAGAAAAAGTTTTATGACAAAGTTAACAACGACAACAATGAGAACAGACATTTTCTCCATGTATAGCTCGCCTTTCATCTAATATGACAAGGTAAAAATCGAAAATTAAATATGTAAGAACACTAGAAAAATGGCCAAAGATTAACACTGATTACTTTCTAGAAATTTCTGTCATGTAATTTTGTTATTTCACAATTCACCTGATTTTTGTGATTCACCATATTACACACCACTTGCATACTTTTATGACAAAACTTATAAAAAAATCTGCTTACATGGAGGTTGTCGTGTTGAATGATAGACTTGTAAATCAAAGGGTTGTGAATTAGTATTATGAACCACAGTCACATTGCCTCCAGTCCACTTATTGGCTTTAACAACGATATTTGATTTCCAGTCAGTCCAAAACACGAATCCTTCAAATAACGACACTGCAAAGGGATGTGAAAGATGTTCATGTCCTTTGAGAATAGTGTGAACATCACTGCCATCATAAAACGATGAATGGATTGAGTTGGATCTGAAAGAGAAGAAAATTCACGAGATGGTCATAGGGTTTGAATGTAGAAGAGTAGACTTACATAAAGAAAATGTTGGTACAGGAAATTGAAAATTGTTATTACACTTTGAGTACTGGTTATTCACAAAAAATTTCTGCTTATATGTATTGAGCAGAAACAATTACTTCATGCATCAGAATAAGCATCTTTTAACCTTTTCACCGCCAGACCTTCTCGTCCAAATTTGTCTGCACTTTTTTTCTTATATTCTTCAATATTTCTGGAAATGATCCCTAATTTTGGAGCCAACAGACAAAATTTGAGCAAATTTTTAGTTTTTACTCAAAACAAATTTGGCTATTTTTGTCCCAATCTTCTGAAGGAAAGTGCAGACTATAAAACACTATTTTGTGAATTTGTGATGAAAAGAGGGAACTGGTGGTGAAAAAGTTAAAACATCAATCAATGAATGTCAGATTCAAACATGTAGGAAAGGAAACAATAATCAAAAACAATATTCAAGGAATAAAAAAAAGGGGAAATTTCATTATTACTAGCTAACAATATCTTACCTGGCATCAATCCAAATAATTCTCCTTTCTAAAAAGTCAATCGTCAGACCATTAGGCCATCCACCTTGTAGATCAGTCACATTCATAACAATAATTCTGTTTTCTCCAGCCATTGAAGCACGTTCAATTCGAGGTTGGCCGCTATCCCAGTCTGTCCAAAACAGCAATCTAAAACCACAAATTATCTAAATATGTTATTCAGCAAACTATATACTCTGGTACTTATAGAATGAAGGTATGCAACTGATGTTTGAATATAAAATTGGTGAAAGCTGCTAGGACCGATAAACATAATATTATCTGAATGTATGTGAATGTTGTTCCAAGTTCACGTCAATTGAGGTTACATGTATTTCAACCAATGGCACACCATAGAATGCAGAAGATGCATGGAAATGTATGAAATTTGTACATTTGTAAAGAAAAATAATATATTTTTTACAATATTGTCTCATAAGTCATAACACTTTTTTAATTTTGAAAGACGTCTTTATTGCATATCACACCAATTGTATTTATTTTGTTAAATCAGTAAAAAATTTAGAAAATTTTATACTAGATGGAAAATTATTATGTCACTGTCTGCAATACAGTACAATGACTTGAAAGGACATAGTACAGTTTATATCAAAACATTCCACTAATATTTCACTATTACGACTACAGGCAACTACAATTTGAAATTGGTTTTGCACCAAGACAAATTTTCACTTAATTATTTCCAGGAGTAACAAAACCATGAGATTCATGAATTGTGATCATATTTCACAACTATTTGAATTATTTAGTATTGAGACAACCCAGATATTCAAGTGTACAGCACTTGTTGCCAAGGCTGTCAATGGTTGCCAAGGCAGAGTCACTGGTTGCCAAGGCAGAGTCGCTGGTTGCCAAGGCATAGTCACTTGTCACCAAGGCTGTCAATGGTTGCCAAGGCATATTCACTTGTCGCCAAGGCTGTTACTGGTTGCCAAGGCAGAGTCACAGGTTGACAGAGTCACTGGTTGACAGAGTCACTGGTTGCCAGGGCAGAGTCACTAGTTGCCAAGGCAGAGTCACTGGTTGCCAAGGCATATTCACTTGTCGACAAGGCTGTCAATGGTTGCCAAAGCAGAGTCACTGGTTGCCAGGGCAGAGTCACTGGTTGCCAAGGCATATTTACTTGTCGACAAGGCTGTCAGTGGTTGCCAAAGCAGAGTCACTGGTTGCCAAGGCATAGTAACTGGTTGCCAAGGCAGCGTCAGATGCAATCTTTAGGTAAACTTACCCATCTCTGGGATCCAAAGCAATGGCTCTTGGACTTTCCATATTCCCAGCAATAAGTGTCGTTCTCATTGTTCCATTGATCCGAGCTACTTCAATTTGATCTAGATTACTCTCAACCCAGTATATATTGTCAGCAATCCAATCCACAGCTAATCCTTCAGTTGTTGCCAGCCCAGTCTCAACTACAGGCTCCACATTGATGAGACCTGGAAAAGAACACAGAATCAGGATTTGGTATAAATAAGATTATAAATTCATAGATTGAAGTAATTTCAATATAATATATAGACCAAATAAACAGAACAGCAGTCTTCTATGATTTAGTAAAAAAAGAAATTATCAGGTGGTCAGCTTGGGAGGTGTTTTTGTTGTCATAATGGCATATAGTGCAATTCCCACAGAAATCAAAATCAATGTTTGTGACTACGTAACAGGGCTGTGTGACAATCTTCCGAACATTATAAAGGCTTTATGGACATTTAAGGACTGAATCAGACCAGATCGGACATAAGGACCTGCAGACTTTAATCAAGGTTCACCAAAGATTGCAACCATTGGTGAATGAGTCTTGGCCAGTAGAATTATCCTTTCCATTGAGTCTCATTCGGGTTAGAGGTCAGGAACAAAGTATGATTTAAACTTGAGTCATTGATCACGAGTCTGTTCCAACAATCATTACGCTATATGTGACTGGCTCATCAAGGGAGATGATTAAGGGACCATTTGCCCCAATACATTTTCGGTTAATATTTAATGATCTACCAATAATTGATAGTTGGAATAATTAACTCAAAAACTGCTCAAGTCTCAGTGAAATGTGCTGCATACCTGACGTAGACATTAAGAGTGTTGTCTTGAAACTGCAATTTAGCAATTATTTTTCATGCAAAAATGTTGGTGAGATGCTTTTGAGATGATGTCTGGTTTCAATGCAATCAATTAACACGTCAATGATATGATATAGTCCCTGTTCAGTTTTTAGTAACTGTCAATTATACACAATGAAAGAGGTACACAGCATATAGTTAAATGTTAAAAAATATGGAATTACTTCAAATGGCAACTTATCCAGGTTTTATTCAGTTAAAGTAACACAGACAGAGAGACAGACAGACAGACAGAAGGCCATGCATGACCCAAATAAGAGTTCCTGTTTTGGGATGTTGACCAAAAGAAGACTTAAAGAATGATCTTATATTTATCCGCTTTCCGTTATACATTTTACCAGAAATTGAACTCACCTGCATTGTCTTCATCAGGAGTTATCATACCACGATATATCTTGTCGTCTACGACATCCGTCCAAAATACCAGCCGTTTTGCATAATGAGCATCCAACGCTATACTATTACGAAGATTAGTAATCAGTGACGAATATGAGCCACTTGTATGACGAATATCCAGAAACCTCAACTCGTAACGGTTTGAAAAAATCAAGTATGGAACACCAGGATCTAAAAAAAATTGAACATTTTAAATTATTTTTAGTATTCATTATAGCGTCAGTAACAATTGAGGAAACGCATTTATATTTCAAGTTCAAATGAGTAAGTCGTTGTCAATGATAAAGTCTGTATCTCCTGATGATAAACTATGTGTCCCTCAGAACTAGTTTCAAGACTCATTTTGATATTGGTTTAACTTTTTTAGTTGCAATCAGATAAAAGACTTAGTTTGCGTACCAAACTTTTTATTTGCTATTGTTTATTTGTTTGATGAAACTTTCACTGAACGGAATATCATTGAATGTGTGGTGTTTTTGAAATAAATGCATGTTTACCAATTAGCCACATCCAACAACAAAAGTTGAATTTGAAATCTCAAATTTGATGGTTTTTCCTTTATTTACCTTGAAAGTTACTGCATGAGTTTAAGAATTATGACAAAATTATGAATTGTTCTATATTACCTGTACTTCGGCATGACCAATTGTCTGGTTCTAGTTGGTAACCCTGGTAACAATCGCAATAATAAGGCCCACGATTTCCTTTCGTCTTGACGCAGATCTGGCTGCAACGTCCTTTCATACTGCAGAAGTCTTCATCTGCAATAACCCAAAAAATATGAATATTTTGAGAAATACCATTTTTGCTCTATTAATAAAAATAAACTTCAACCAAATTATTCATTCATTGTATACTAAATTATTAATATATGATTTCATAATATGGTACTAATAAATCAAATATGGTATCAGTGATCATAAATAAGTACTGGGTATTAAGTTTATTTCTTTATTTTTAGTGATTTATTATCATCATACGAGAGCCAGATCATGTAGTCCCAAGCATTTATATAGACCAATCATTGAATTATTCTACAGATATTTTTGATGCGAGGGTTCTTTAGTGATGTGCTGATCACATTACGAGTATTTTATCATCCCAATTCTACAAAATATAATATCGTAAGTAGAGTTGATGAATTTTAATATACTACATACTAAAAAAAGATGACATGTTGAACCAATGAAACTCCTCAACCCCGAGTATGTTCTTAAGAGATGAGGTATCTACTTGATAAATTGAATGTGATTGGAAAATCAATGACTGAATGTAGTTCTTTTAACAATATACACAGTTAATCATGGCAATGTTTATAAACTTTGAACAAGCTGAAGTAATCAAAAAGAATATCACATGCACAAGAAACCTATGAACAGTCTGTAATGAAGATGACTACCCAGCTTACCTGAAAAAATGAATAAGACAACTCAGCTTACCGTGAAAAATGAATAAGACTATCCAGCTTACCTGAAAACATACAGTTTTTGTTGTCCTCTGTCAAGACCATTCCAATGGGACAACCACAACGATATCCGTCAGGAGAATTATAACAAATATGGCTACAATCATTAGATTGATGATTTTCATCGCATTCATTTTGTTCTAGAAATAAAAATAAAAATAAAATGATATTAATCCAGGTTCGATATATACATTCAATTAAGTTGCTCTTTGAATCTGTAAAGTGGTTGTTGGTTTTGGAGATCACAGGACAAGTTGTTTAAATTGGTAACTATGACACTGTGGTGAGAAACAAAAATTTGGAGAAAGTTTGAGTATACAGATGACAGACCTTCCAGAGCATCATTTTCTTATTGGGTTCCATTCTTTGTTGTATTTTTAAACAATATCAATTTCTTTTATCATTTTTCAAAAAACATCTTTACTTCATGAATAAAAAAAAAATATATATTTTTTTGAGGGGTTTACAAAAAATTTTTGAATAAAAAATAGTTTTGTGTCTTTGAAAATTACAGTGACTTTTTCAGATATCACATATTGTTTATCAAACAAGACAATTTGATTTTAGGAAACAATATACAAACACTTTCGCCAGACTGGATTTAATTTTACAGTGATTGAGATTTATTTTGACAGTCAGTTTATATTGAGATAGCTCACAACTTTGCAAAGCAGCTTGGCATTTACTTTGTTCTAGACTTTGCGGCACCAATGACTGTTTCATATGGAGATTGACTTATGATTTGTAAATTTAGTGTAAGCTTACAACAACTATTATCCATTTCTTGTATGTATTCAAGAAGTATTAAAATACTTCAAAATAACATGTTCCAATGAAGGTGTTTCATTTTAAAAATCTGCATTTTACCCTGATCTGATATCTGAGTGTGTGTCAATGAGACGGCGCTGTCAAGTCTTGATTGAATAAAATCAAAGTGTTTTGAAAAGTTGCAAGCTAACTTTCTAAGTGACAGCTTCCATACAAAATGGCAGTAACATTTTTTTCTAATTTTCCATTGACTACAAGTTAAATTTTGTCAGAACATTTCCCTCATTTCATCGCAAAATAATCTGTTTGTAGTCTGCACTTCCTTCAGAAGATAAGAACAAAAATAACCAAATTTTTTGAGTAAAAACTAAAACTTGGCTCAAATTTTGTCTGGTGTCTCCAAAATTAGGACTCATTTCCAGAAATATTGAAAATATAAAAAAATGCAGAAAAATTTGGGCAACGAAGTCTGGTGGTGAAAAGGTTAATAGGTAAATGTACATTTCAGGTACGACTGTGAGCCAACAATGGATGAAAGTTATCATACCACAATATGCTTCATCAGTTCCATTTTCACAGTCTGCTATTCCATCACACAGTTGATGTGGTTCAAGACAAATTGGAGGGATTCCACAACTCCATTTAGGCGGCTTACAGTCATCTTTGGAAGCTACAGAAACGAGAAATTCATTAAAAAATATGCCAAAACTCTAATGTACGT